TGTAGGGTTTGCTCTTGTACCTTTCCAATAAAAGTGGTGGTGGCTTTGCTGGGAAGGGAGCAGGGCTGGGGCTGCAGTTATGGGTATGGGAGTAAAGGGGAGCATGGGATCAGACCGGGGGGAGCTGCATCTTGTACCCTCCAATGCCTTCCCAGCAGAATGAACCTTGTGTCCCATTCTGCAGGTGGTCTCATCTCCAGGTGCTGTGTGTATGTAAGGATTGTCACAGACCCATAGAGCAGCTCAGATTGGAAGGAATGTCAGTGGTTGGTGGGACACGTGGAGACTCCAGGCAGAATTCCTGGCTCTGCCTGCAGCACTGCAAAGTGCAGAGCTCAGCTCTCCATCACATCGACGTGGAGATGTTAATTCTCTGCTGGAGCGTGGGGAAGCTGAGACTGGGAGGAATATTTGCAGGTTTGAGAGCAGATAGATCTTGCTTCACGTGGCTGAAGATCCCTCTGGCAAGGGGGACTCGCATTGCAAAACACATTCTTTCCCCCCTGGGCAATCCTGGCCTTTCATTAGTGCGAGGTGATCCAGCTGCACTCCAGATGCAGACTGAAGGAGCATTCATTGTGGTTGTAGGCTGGAGCCTAATGGGGGGGGGGGAGGAATCAACTGATTGGGTTGCTGCAGCTGTTACTGTTTTTTGTGCTTCAGGGTGAAAGGAGAGGCCTGGAGAACCCTCACCTCCAATGCCATGGCACTGTAGTCACAGGTGGCTTTGGGAAACTGAATGGGAGGAAAATACCTGGAGACAAATATGGGGAGCTCCTGCCTGGGTGAGCAGCTGGCCAGGATGCATCTCCAGCATGGTTGCTCCTTCTTGGTTATGGTGTTATTTTGCTCTTCCCCAGGGATGAACTTTCCAAGTTCTTTTCTAGGAAGAAACGTTGTTTTCTGTACCCACTTTATAGATAGGAAACTGAGGCACAGAAATGCCGAGGTTAAATACATCAAATGTCAAGCTGTCATTTCCTCGCTGCAGTGTTGGAGTTTGTGAACCTAACAATGTTCTTCTGACAGTTTTGTGAGTGGGATAATACTTAAATGGGAAAACGAGTTGGCAGGTTTCACAGCTTCCCTATTGAGGGGGCACAGGATATAAACCTCCGTTTTGCGCCTCTGTTTTGTGCATTCAGGGTGTTCTCCAGAATAAAAGCTTCCCAAAAAGTTTTCTGAGCAGGGACCTCCAATCCAAACCCATACAGCATCTCAGGTGTCAGGAAAGCAGACTGGTGGTGCTGGAAGCCCATCCTGGCTCTGTGTGACCCTGCTGGTTCTCTGTCCATTGCACGCCCTTCTCAGCAGCACCCCCAGCCCTCCTTGCTGATGCAGAAGTCAGGGAGATGCTTGGGCTTTGGATCAGCCTTTGCCACCCGACGTAATCCCCCGCTTTGTGATAAGATGGGATTTGAAAACACGCACAGCAATGAGCACCTTCTGCAGGGCAGTGGGGAGGAAACCTTTTAACAAAGGTAAAAAATCAAATTAAAAAGATGTGGCCATAAACTCTGCTGCCACGCAGAGAGACGGGCGACAGCTCCCCCCATTTGTCATGAATTTTGCAGCTGGCAGCACTTTTATTTTTAATGCCTGACCGTTGGAGCCCTACAATTGCAGGAGCTTTTTCCTCTATCTTTTTAATATAAGCAAGACTCCAGCTGTCATTTTTTGCGGAGGGAGGCTATAAAAGGTGAAGTGTAAGGGATGTAAAGCCAAAAGGCTGCTAAAAAAAAAAAAAAAAAAGGCGGTTATTTTTAATTGCATTATCTTTAAACATTCAGAGTTAGCCCTGTGATGATGAACTGATGAGCAATTGGTTCATTCAGAGCACCAGAACAAATCAATGAGCAGCACATCACCCGGAGCGCTCTGCTGGAATGTGAAAACTTCTGTGCTGACTGAAGGTAAGTACTTAGGAGATGATCCAGCATATCACACCAGAGAAACAAGCCAGCTTAGCATCTTCGTTTCCCTCCAAGCACAATAAATCCTTCCCATATCCGCCGTTTCATTTGAGAGCTAATGGATGTCCTCAAGTGCGTGTCTGATCGCCGTCAGGTTGGAATGAACTCTGCAGAGAATGGTGGGATGGTTTTCCAGTATGGAACCTTTCCATTCCCAGCCACTGGTTTGGCCCCTTAATTTTAGCCTCTTTTTTTTTTTTTTTTTTTTTTTGAGATCTAAACGTATTTGTGTTATCCTAAAGGGATTTTTGAGTGCCTCATGGGACCTGAATGTGGTGTATGTCCTGGCGTGTTGGTGACTGCAGCTCAGCTCTGCTTGGGTGTTGGCCAGAATTTATTGTCCTGGTGAAAATGCCGTTGGTTATTTCAGCTCAAGAGCCGCTTATGGCTGATCTGATGCTCACCAACACACATCCTGGAGTGATGATTCTATGATATTGCAGTTCAACCACAGCAGCTAATTGGGATGAAGAGTTCTGGGCCAGTCCTCTTGCTTTTCACTCCGTGGGTGGTGAGGCACTGGAACAGGTTGCCCAAGGAGGCTGTGGATGCCCCATCCCTGCAGGCATTCAAGGCCAGGCTGGATGTGGCTCTGGGCAGCCTGGTCTGCTGGTTGGCGACCTGCACACAGCAGGGGGTTGGAACTGGATGAGCATTGTGGTCCTTTTCAACCCAGGCCATTCTATGATTCTATGATACAATTCTTTTTAGTCACTCCAGGTGTGAAAAACGAATCTAACTTGTGCACTAAGCCTTATTGTTGGGCTGTGCTGCACCTTGGACAAATCTTTGCTTTACTCTATATCTGTTACCTTCCTCTGCCTTAACGAGTCCACGTTAACATTGCATCTGGTGTTTTCAGCTTTCCTTGCTGCTTTTACAAGCTTCCTGCACACAGCACCTTCCCACGTGGCTTATTTGATGCTATTTAGATGAATTTGTTGAGCTTCTAGACTGGGTTTGTTCCATCAGAATTCGGGCTGTACTTTTCCATCTGGCTGCCTGCTGGAAAGTGATGTTTTCAGTCACTTTTGCAAGGTTAATTGAATTATGAGGAGCAGATTATTTAAGCAGACGGAGTGGCCTTGTCACACTTGGTAGGGCCTGTTAGACCTGCAGTAACACAACCAGAAATGCCCAGGAGCTGCAGGTGCCCCCGAGGAAGAGGTCAGTGAGGTTTGCCAGCATGGATTGCCTCCATCCACTGCAAAATGCCACGTCTGCCATCACATCCCTGCCCTGAAATAGCTGATGGGATGCACTGAACTGCAGCCATGTCACCCGTGTAAGGCAGCAATGCCATCCGCTCCGCTTGCAGGGAAGGGAGACGAGCTGTGACGTCCTCTGCAGCATCACCACAGCCCAGGGTGTGCTGGGATGGCACTGCCGTGGCTCTGGGGACAGTTCTGGGGGGAGGAGCAGTCTTTTGACCTTTCTGTGATTTAGGTGCCTGTCTGCCTTAATGGCTTTGGGATGCAGGAGGTGGAGGTGTAAATACCAATGACGTGCTGCCAAGGAGCAAATAGGCATCCGATGAAGAAACGCATCCTTTTTTTTCCCCCTTCTTATTTATCTCTCAGGCAAGGAGCAGAGGTGGCAATAAAGGGAGAAAGACGTCAGCCGCCTGGTAGATCAGCAGCTGCTCTGAGCTCCTCCACGCTGAGGAGTGAGCTGGATTTCTGGGGTGCTTGGCTGATGCAAAGGGCAAACCGATCACCAAATGGCATTTGGCTGCAATGATTTCCCACGAGCAACTCACAGCGGGCTCTCCGAGGTGACGTGCTGGTGATTAATGCACAAACTTACCCCTCTCCCTGGTGCATAGTTTTCGTTCTGTGCAAGCTCTGATTATTCAGTAAAAAAAAAAAAAAGTAACATTGGCCTATGAAGCTGAACATCAAAATGCAAAAGCAGAACCCTCAGCGTCCCCACTGTTTGCGGTGTATTTGCTCAGGGTTATTTTCATGCCACACACAATTGAGGTTATTGAGGAGAGCAAAACGAACAGTGTTTGTTATTCAGTTCATTTTGGGTTTTCAGTGCCGTCGTCGTCTCGTAGCAGCAGTGCCTGGGGATTGGGGGGGTGAGGGAATGAATTTATTACACAGAGTGTGGAGCTGGACAGAAACAGCTCCCAGAGGCCTCCCTGAAGGAGAAGGAAAGGATACAGGCTGGGGGATGCTGTGGGGTAGGGAACGTGGATATGAAGACGTGGAGCAGCTGGTGCAAGAGCAGCAATCCTTGGGTTTGTGTTTCCATACTGCTGGCTGTGTCGAACCTCAAAGCAAAGTGTGTAGGTTTCTGCTGGGAGCTCCGCTGTGTCTGTGCTGGCTGAGTTTGCAGCTGAGGTCAGGTTCCTGAAGCCAAGGAGGTTTAACGGGGATTATGCATTTGTGAGGCTGGATCTGGCTCTGAGCTCTTTCCTTCTGTAATTTGCCAAACCAAAATCCAAAATCCAGACAATCTTAGAGAAGGTTATGCCATCATTCCAGACTACGTGCCTGGTTTTACAGGCTGTTAATACACAAAGGTTATTTTAAAATGGTGAAAGATCTGTATGAGATGGTTTAAGTACAGATTTTGAACTACTTGCTACCATTGGACTAGAAGCAGATGTACTGGCACTGGTGTTATTCTTAAAAAGGTTTCCTTTATCTCAGTGTGTGATCACCTTGTAGTCTCATTCGACTTGGAAGGGACCTCAGAGGTCATCTGGTCCAACTCCCCTGCAATGAATAGGGATTCTGCTGTGGGCTCTCCTGCTCTGGGGCTGCAGGCAGCAGGAACCTGCTGTGCATCTCCAGGTCTCAGGCTGCTGCCCAGGCCCCTCTGTCAGCCTCCATGTCAAATGGATTTAGAGAAGGAAAGTAAAACTAGATGAGAAAAGCCAAGCGAGGCAGCGTGGGATGCCGGGCAGGCTGCCTGGCCTCATCTCTTGCTTTGCATTGACCACGTGTGGACCAGGTGATGGAGCTGGCTCTCTGTTACTCTCTAACAAACCTCTGTGCTCCCCTTCTGTCTCTGCAGAGCTCCCTTCCTCGGAGCACCTGAGTGTGGCCGATGCCACATGGCTTGCCCTCAACGTGGTGTCCGGCGGAGGCGGCTTCTCTGGCTCCCAGCCCATCGGCGTGACCAAAATTGCCAAGTCAGTCATAGCACCACTAGCTGACCAAAACATCTCAGTGTTCATGCTCTCCACCTATCAGACAGACTTCATCTTGGTAAGAGACATCAGAGGACCGGGCAGAATCACCTGCCAGCACATGGCACTTAATGACACTTCAGTGACACTTGGGAGATCGTGTTGCTTGAGGAGCAGCAGGATCACCAAGGTTTGCTTTCCCCAGAGCTCTGACATCTCTGGAGCTTCTCTGTGGAGCAAGGCACTTGTTGGTATGGGTTATGTGGCAGATACACATATTTGTACCCTACTTATGGTAGATAACCTTACTGATGTATGCAGTCATAGCACCGAAAGTGCTTCTCTAGACGCACACCTTGTGCACCTGCTGCTTCACGTGGGAATAATGCGTCCACTTCCCTGTGTTCTTAACCTCCACTGCAGCATTTTCATCCTTCTGCTGCATGCCATCACCAGCTCACCCTGTCATCCCCCCCAGGTACGTGAGCGAGACCTGCCCTTCGTCATGCACACGCTGGCTGCAGAGTTCACCATCCTCAGAGTAGTGAACGGGGAGACGGTGGCCGCCGATGACCTTGGGATAACAAATGGATTTGTCAAACCAAAATTGGGTAAGGAGAAGCCTGGATTCAACCCCTTGGGATGCTGGTCTTTGTGCTGCATGGGGGAAGAGGAGTTTGTTTAACACGTGCCCAAGTATGTCCCCATTCACCAGGGACTGCGGTAGGTGTTTAACTTTCTGAGCAATGCTGATGAGCTCTGTGGAATTTGAGCCTTTTAATGCTGGTTTAATACCTCTAGAGCAGACATGCCTTTTTGTAGGATGGAAGGTTAAAATGTAACTTATTTCAGCTGCAAAAAGAAAACACAGTCTGTGGCCCATACTTCCATATTCTAACACTGCAAAAGAAAACAGCTTCTACAGAGGCTTGGTTAAGCATTGCAGTGATTGATGCACAGAGAGTGGTGGTGTTCACCTTTCACACTTCAGTACCAGTCAGGATCAAGGCCACAGTGAGCCTGCAGCCATACAAAACCTTAGGATGTTTCCAGTCTGCAGGAACAAGCATCAAGCAAAGGGCATAGTCAGGAAAAGCAACTGCTTAAGTACATCTGTTCCTCCACACCCAGGTGCAGTTGTGTGCCCACAGCCAAACAAAGCAGGGATCCTCTGTGAAGTGCCACTCATCCTCATCGCTCAGTAGCTGTAGGTCTCTTCTTTAAGAAAATGAGCCTTATAGAAAAAACAGGGCTGTAAAATAAAATAGGCTTTGAAAAAGGAAGGATAAGAAGGCATACTGCCAGCAGCCAGAGGAATGCCCCTAAATGGTGGGAGCCTGACTTTATTTCAGCCTGATAGCCCGCAGGGTTTCAGTAAGGAGAAACTTCCTGCTTTTACCTTGCCAGCACTGTTGGTTTTCTCTGTGGCTGCCGTGTGGCTGTCACATCTGGTGGGACGTGGCTTCATGGCTGTGTGTGTGTGTCTCTTGCAGTTCAGAGGCCTGTCATTCACCCCCTTTCCAGTCCGAGTAATATGTTCTGCGTCACCAGCCTGGACCCAGATACCCTTCCCACTGTTGCTACACTCCTCATGGATGTCATGTTTTACTCCAATGGGTAGGTCATGGCAGGGATTCAGGCTCCGGGGGGGTATAAATTCACACCACCATACCAGGGGGGACCTGCTGCAGCCTCGCACTGCTGTGGTGCCTTGTAATTAGAGATGGAGAGGATGGAGGATCAAGAGGGCTGTCCCAAGAAGTGGGAGCCAAGAGACCTCTGCTGGCTTTGCAAAGCTGAGCCTTTTCAGGCTTAAGCTGAAAGCAAGCAGTGTGATCTGTGTGCTGCAAATCCATACGTGACCCAAAGACGCACGGCCAGCGTGCTGCTGTGATGTGATAGTGCTCAGTGACACTGCCCTAAATCAGTGTCTGAGCACCTCTGATGTCAGTGGTTGTATCTTCTTTAAATGCCCTCTTCTGGACACAGTTAATGCTGTTCTCTTCTGTTTCCTCAGAGTAAAGGACTCGGTGGTGGGCAATGAAGACTCGGGACACATTCGCTTTTTCTCCTTTTCTCTCATCGAGGGTTACATCTCCTTGGTCATGGATGTCCAGACACAGCAGAGGTGAGCTTTGGTCTTAGGGTCTCCCAGACTCTGGAAAACAACCTAGGGTGTTCTCAGAAGAGTAGGAAGCAGCTTAAGCTCCCACGTGTTAATTCTGGGGAGCTTCACTGTGTGCCTGTTACGTGCCTGTACGCCTCGTTACCTTACTGAGCATGTCCAGCATGTTGGTCCAGGCCCAGAATGAAATAACAGCATCACATGGGATCTGAGAGCTGTCTCACTGTTGAACATTGGAGCAAAGTGATTTTGACATTTTCATTCCATTTTTCACAACTTTTAAAAGCAAAAACCCTCAAAAATCTGATTGAAGCTTTACTGCCAAAAAAACAGAGTGGGGACTTCAGTGACATTGTCCTCCCACTTTGCCTTCACATGTAGCTGGGCTCGGTGCAGGCTTGTGATGATAATACAGTGATCCCCATGCAGCCAGAGCTCAGCTGCTCTGAGGGCTCGTTAGTCAGGCAAGGCAAAAAGTCAGTGAGGGAGCAAACATCAGGTTTGTGTGTGTATTTCTGCAGCTCCACATCACAGCAGTCTCTGAGGTCCAGATACCAGACAGCACAGACAGCATGATGCTTGAAGATACCAGGCATAGATTTGCTTTTGACACGCAGTGCAGTGTTTAGTTTGATTCTTGCCTGCCCTAAGGACTTGTTCTGCAAACTATTAATTGCTCTCTTGGAAATGTCTTAAACCTTAATTGGAGTAAAACTCTGTCTGCCTTCAAGAGAGGCCTGAGGCTTGGAGCAGCAGCCAGTGCTTGGGGAATCTGGGCAGCCACTCACTGCTGTTGGCCTCAGCAAGTCACTTGGCCACTGACCTTCCTGCTCTGCTACAAACAGGGGATCTGCAGGGAACCCAGGGTCCTCCTAGGGATGGTATGGGAAAAAGCACTGATGGTGCTTGGGTACAGGGACAGTGGGCACCACTGCATATCAAAGAAAGTATTTAGGGGAGCATAGAATCAGTAAGGCTGGAAAGACCTGAGTCCAACCATCACCACATCCCACCATGCCCACTCACCCTCAGTGCTGCATTTGTTGAACCTCCACTTGAACACCTGCCACTGTTGTTGGCTCCAAGCAAGGATACAGAAACAGCAGCATCCCTGCGGGCAGCATCCGACACACCGCTGTGTTTTAATTGCTGCGTTTGGCATTCTCTTTCTTTTGCAGATTTCCTAATAATTTGTTGTTTACAAGTGCATCTGGTGAGCTCTGGAAGATGGTGCGGATTGGTGGGCAGCCCCTTGGCTTTGGTAGGTAAACATTTGGACCCTCAGTTGGTGCACGGGGAGTCATTGCCTCAGGGCCTTCAAAGGGGATGGAAAAATCCATTTGTGTCTGAGACTTTCTAAGTACCAGCAGCTCAACATGACTTTGCAAGCTGAGGTTTCCCAATAGGTGACTCCTACTAATAAGTCAGACTTCTAAATATACTTTTGAAAGTGCTTGACATGCTTGACAGCTCCGCCTAAATTACATCGGTCTGCAGGACTTCAAAGGCAGATGCAACTGGGTTTGTATTTAAAGAGCAAAAATGGACAAAGAGGTGGCACAGGATGCAGATTGCTGAAAGCAGTGGTGTGGCAGCACAGCCTTTGGACACCTCTGGGGCTTTGGTATATTGAGTGTAGATCTATAGAAGTCCAAATTGGAAAACTGTTTTATGTTCAATGCTGCAAATGTTTTCTCTACTCAAAAGAACATCGGACCTAAGAGCACAGAGCAAATATTCAGTTCTGCAGAAGTATCCCTCTTATTTTTATGACCCCTGCAATTTTAAGGAGTTTAATCTGAACTCCGCAGCCAAGACCTGATGCTCACAAAACATAGGGGCTCCTTCCATGCTTTCTAAAACAGTTAAAAATACAGACTTTAAGAACATTTCGGAAAAGTTTTAAATATTTTTCATTTTTGGCCATGTGTCAGATGAACAAAAGTTTTAAGAACACAGTTTTCACGTACCTTCTTTAAATGCATCTCGGAGGCAAAATATGTAGAAGTGACGTGGCACGTTTCATTGATGGGGCATCAGGACACCCAGTCCCCTAAATATGCAACATTTAAACGTGTTAAATGTGTTTAGAATCAGTTGGATTCCAGTTGGGGGAATGGGCGGTGACTCTTTTTTTTTTTATCTCCCCAATAGATGAATGTGGAATTGTTGCTCAGATTTCTGAGCCTTTGGCCGCGGCCGACATCCCAGCCTACTACATCAGTACTTTTAAGTTTGATCACGCGTTGGTGAGTATCCAAACTGCTGCTTTGAGGCAGGGGAGGGCTTCCTGGGAGGCAAACAGTGATGAGAACAGCAGTAGCCAAGCGCTAACAAAGCGGACGGAGCTCAGCTGGTTTGTGCTCTTCGTTTTGTTTCCCTCAAAATGCCCTTCACCGCATCACTTCTCCTTTCATCACTGCACACTCACTGTCCAATCCTACTTGTGACCTTCAGAAGCTCCAAAGAGTCCAAGGGGTTTTTTGCACTGGGTTTTTTCACCTCGTTTCTTGGGTTTTTCACAGCTGGCACAAACCATTTGCAACCCATAGGTCATGTGTGTAAAGAGTAAGAGTAAATATTATTCTAGATAGCAAAGGTCAGAGTGGTGTATGTGTTTGTCTTATTTTCTTGAATATTAACTGTGCTGATAAGATAAGCTAATAAAACACCATTTTAAAATCAATACTGTTAGCTTCACCTCGCATTCCTACCTGCTGCTGTGGCCCTGCAGCATGCTGTGTGCACAGGGCACGGGGTGCAGAGTGCTGCTAATTGTCAGGCAGTCTCTGGAGAGCTTAAAATAGATACTTCACTTAAAACTTGTGCAATTGTGATGATTCTGCAGCAGCTCCACCTTTTACAAGTGGCTGCATCCGACCCCACAGCCTCCAAGCAGCTGGCAGGCTCTTGTTTGGGCCACACATTGATTCATGTGGATCTTCCTTTCCAAGTCATTATTTTGTCACTTTCCTTGCTACTTTTTGTTTTCTTTTTGTGTGCTTCTACACGTCTGGATGGTGCTGTTCTAGCACCAAGGCATGCTGGCTGCTGGTGCATTGCAAGCCCTCCTTTGCTTTGTTGGCCAAGACCCTCAGCTGGGCTCTTTACTTCCCAATTATCTTTACTTCCAGCAGGTAGTCCAGCAGGAAGGTCCAACTTTCTCAAGGTCTAAGAGCATCTTGAATCTCTTCTCTCCATCCTCTCTTTGTTTAAGGTTGTTCAGTGTTTGCTGTCAACAACTCAGAGTTCTTTATAAAAACTCATTCCCCTTGCCCCCTTCTTTTTATTCCTGTGCATCTTACGGTGTTTTTTGTTGCTTAGTTTTTCCTGAGCTGTTAGCTGCAGGAGTGCTCTGCAAGTCATTCCCTCTGGGAGGCATTGCCAAGATGGGAACCCTCAGCTCTCCATGGATGGATGAGGTGGGCTGGGCTGGAGGCAGCTTCCAGCTCCCTGCAGGGTATGTCTGGAGAGAGCCAGTGAGCTTTTCCAGGTGCTCTGCTCCCTTTGCCTCATACTTGGAGGTTCCTTGCTCATCTTCCCCAGCATTTTGCACCTACTGAGGCTGGAGCTGTGGTTGGGAAGCAGTTTGGAGCTTTGCTTTGGCTCTCCTTGTGGATGTGTGATCTGCCCTCTGGCTGCTAAGTGAGCATGTTGCACCAGTTGCCCTCTTTAGGGATCTCAAAGGTGTCTTGCACAACTAGAATGTGTCCCACAGATCAAAACTTTGCACATCTTTCCTGGAGAAAACAAAGCCCAGCCCTTTGTTGTGTGATAGATAGTGCCTTGGCATTGAGGGAGCCAGGCACCATTCGACATACAGGGAAAAACAACGAAAGAGGCAGTGGAGCTTCATAGTCCTATTTCATGTGATGGATGTTTGCAGGAGTTTTCTTCCAAACCCAGAAGAATTGTCTCTGTGGTTCTTTTAAGGTTATTTTCTTCCTTTCCCAGCAGACCTTTGTTCACACATCATCAGAGTTAGCAGCTCCTGTTCCATCTTCCTGCTGGAAAATTGAATGTTTTTCTTGTTATTTCTCATGGGTTGTTTTTTTTTCTTTTTTCTTTTTTTTTTTTTTCCTCTCAGTTTTGTTAAAAGCTCTCAGAAAATCACAGCGCAGCCGTATTTCCACTGAGTTCAGAGGGTCTCCAATGAATCCAGGTATTGTGCTCCTGGCCAAGGAGTCAAATACCTCGCAGAGGAAGCAGTCCCTTCATCTTCCCTACCAGAAGTTATGTTGGCTTCCCTCAGCTACTCACAGATCGTTTATTTTCCCTCTATCCTCTTCTCACTTTCCAAGAGCTGTTGGCTGCCCATCTCCTGAGTGCCATCACTGAATGTAGGTAGTGGTCAGTGCCTCTCTAATGGGCCTCTGTGTGTCATCATTTTCCTTTCTGCCTGGACAGTCATTCCAGGATCTTCTGTGCCTTCTGTTACAAGACACCCACTGGTAATTGTCTAGGTGGACTTCTGTGGTGAAGTTCCATCACAGGGCTGGAATAGAAAGTTCAGGTGCTGTGCTCCAGCACCAGTGCTGACCCTCAGCTCCCCATCACTTGGTGTGCTGCCCACCCAACAGCCACAGGTCCAAAATCTGGTGAGTGCCCCCCAGAGGGGCGGGAATCTGGCATTTGGATGCATAAGTCAAAATTAAGGAGCTACAAGGACTCTGGGAGCTTTACATGAATGTCCCCTTTCATAGAACCATTAAGCTTGCAAAGACCACTGAGATCATCAAGTCCAGCCACCCACCCATCACCACCCTGTCGCTCAGTGCCATGCTTTCTTCCTGTCAAAAGCTGTATTGGGAAGTGCAAGAGCAGAGGTGCACAGGGCTTTGCCAACAGCAGGAAGGAGAGGAGGGAGAGGTAGAAGGAAAGTCCCATCACTACGTTTGCATTAGCTCTTCTGAAATGGAGGGTCCCATAGCTGGAGCCCTGTCTCAATGAGTTCAGGTATCCAACAGCATTCCTGGCTCCTTGGGGCTGCTCTGCTCATCTCCTCCTTCTGCCTTTTGTCATCCAACCCAAGGTTTGTTAGAACCTGACTTCTCTTTTTTGTTTCCTTGCAGGTACCCGAAGAAAATATAAACGGTGTGGTCAATGCACTCCAAGTCAGTCAAGCTGAAAAGCATTAGAAATCTTCTGAGCTGGTTCCAGATGCTTTTTATTATTATTATAATTATTATTATTATTCTTTTTTTTTTCTCACAGTATTTCTTGAAAAATCTGATTCCAGAGAGTGACATGAAAAGAGACTGTGGAAAGTTGAGCAGAAACAGCTCCAAATAGCCTTTGTTTTAATTATTATTATTATTATTGTTATTTTATTAAATTTCTTTATGAATGAGGGGCAGGAGGAGGGGAGGTCAGGATGTTTCCTGAGGCTTAGCTCAGGGTGAGATGGAGCTGCCTGGGAACTCCTGTTGTTCCCCAGCACGGGCCATGGATGGACAGAAGGACACGGATGGATGGACGGATGTGGGCACTGCGCCCTGAGCCCAATAGCACGACCAGAGTGGGTGGGCTGCTGGCTGCCAGAGAGCCCTGAGGCCCCTAAAAATGAAATGTGGAATTAAACAGAAAAGACATTGCACGGTGCTGGATTGTCTGCTCCCATCAGGCTGTCTGAGGGCTGTCCGTTGTTGTGTATGTTGGGTTAGGATGGGGTTGGGGTTCTGTTTCCCCCTCTTTGGTGCTGGAAAAGGGGAAGATAAGCTGTTGTCTGAACTGTCCCGTTGGTCTGTATCCCTGCAGTCACAGCTTGGCTGCCTGCTGGAAGTCTTTGGGGGGGGGGCATTGCTCTGGCCCTGCAGATCACACCACCGGTGTTTCTGTCTGCTTTGAGTCTGGCTTAGGTCTGTTTTCCCTCTCCCAACCCCACTGTCCTCCCCCTTGTGTCCCTGCTCCAGGACAGCTGCTGTCCCCATCCACCAGGACCAGCAGAAGAGAGATTCTTCCTTTCCCATCCCAATTTTAGACATTTGTGGAGCACAAAGTGTTGTTCAGTGTCCTGATTGCTGCTCCTCCCCTACCCCACATCCTGGGCCACCTCAGACCTCAGGCTGTCCCCACCAGGGGCAGGACGTCCCCAAACCCTGTTGGGTCCCTCCTCTGGCTTTATCAGCTCCTTCCTCCCCAGGTTGGGGACTTAACTCATGGGGGTTTCCCATTGGCTTCAGGTCTATGAAAGCTGAACTGTGCTGAAAACTCCCCCCAAAAAACCATATAACACAGCCCAAGGCCTGGGGCTGATGTCACCCAGGACAGGGAGAAGGAGAAGCCACCTGCACAGGGTCTGCCCTCGCAGTCAGGAACCCAGACATTTCTTGTGTTCCGACTCTTCCCATGATGGACATGGAGAAATGGCACGTTGCACAGTTTCAATGAGCGCTTCCCAGCCTTGCTGAATGAAGAGCCTCTGGTGTGGTGGTCATGAGGCTGCATCCTGCAGCTGCAAGGCAGGGAATTGCAGCAATCTGCAGGGGGTACACAGGCAGGAGGTGATGCTGCAGGTGTGGCGTGCAGGACGTGCACTCATTGGTGTTGCTTCCGAAGGAGCAGTAAGAGGAGAAGTACTTGAAACAAGCAACAGTTCTACTGAGCCTTAAGAAAAAGTGAAAAAAATAGGGGTTTATTTTATTTTTACTTTAATTTTGCACTCAGGATGATTTAGAGGTTGTTTTGGTTGTTCCAGATGTTCCACTTCTTTCCTGGAGGGAAGTGGCCTTAAATTCCTGAAATCTGTGGCTGCAAAGCATCACACAGGGCTGTCCTACCCTGCAGACATAAGCCCAAAAATGCCACAAGGTGCACAACCCCATAAGGGCTCTTTGTGCCCCTCATCACCCTCAGCTTCACCTCCTTGAAGCCTTCCATTTCTCCACAATTTGGGCTACTTTCCCCCTCCTTGCCTTTTTTCTTTTTGGTCTTTTTCTGCCTGGTTGGATTTCAGCTGCAAATTCCTTTCTCCTGTGCAAGTGTGTGCACAAACATAGAAATGCCCGTGGTGTTTTGTGTTGGTGTGCCTGTACACAGCACATACACCTGAGCAATAGAGACTCACAGATGCTGTGTGAGTACATGGGCACGCACAGATGTAGTAAATGCTGTATGCACACATCTACTCACTGTAGATTTTTCATTCAAGTGTATCAGCAATAGGAGTGCGTGGTCCTGCTCCCTCTGCAGCTGGGTGCCTCGTGCACAGTGATGAGAGAAAAGCTTCTCCTTTTCTTCTCGTCCTTTTCGTTGCTTTGCTGACATCGTGGTGGTGCCGCTTGGAATCAAGCACATCCAAAATCCCTCCATGAAAGATCAGTGACGTTGTGCACAAGGCATCAGGTCCTGTGTTGGTGCAGTGCCAAAAAAAAAAAAAAAAGAGAGCCAGTCGTCCCACCTGGCTGCTGAGTGATTGCTGCTTTCTTGTTTTGGGTTCAGCCCCAGCAGGGAGGTGTTGCAGCCATCAGTGATGGATGTCATTTGGTGATGAGGAGTCCCTTCTTTCTGTCACTGCCGCTCCTGTGCGCATCTCCAGCAGCAGCTTAAGGCATCTCACTTACTGTTCCCATCCTGACTGCAGATGTCAGGCTGGATTAAACTTTTATTACCTGGTAGAGAGCAAAACCTGGTAATCCTTTTGCCAAACAGTATTTACACTGTGTGGTGTGTGCTGGGGCATGTTTACATTGGCTGAGGTGTGCAGCTCTGCTTGGCAGCTTCAGCTGCCTCCTCCCATGAGTCCCTCCATCCATCCTGGGCTGTGTGCATCCCATGGGCAGCAGTCAGGGCACTGTGTTGTGGGACTGAGCCCATCTCAGCCCTTTTTCCCATCCCCTGCTCCTCCATCTCTCAGCCCCCATGAAGCACAATATGGTGTAACGCCAGCTGTCAGCAGCACAAGGGAAGGGCCACGTCCTGCAGCACAGCAGAGCATGCTCCTAGGGCTGCTCTGCAGATCCTGTAGCAGCAGCTGCCCCTGCAGAAGCAACACACAGCCCCTGATCCTGGCAGGAGATTCTGACAGGGGAATGAATGAAGTATTGCGGGCCAAGTGTATGACAGTTTTAGGTGTGAATGTGCAGAGAAACATACCTCTTGGGAACTGAATAGCCAAGAAGTCCCTCTCTCCATCTCCAGCCAGCATCAGCCCCTTCTGCTGGTTAGGAAAATGATGGGACACAGGGCTGGGGCTGAATGCTGCCATGCAGAGCACGTGGCCCCACTGCCCACACTTTTATTTCTGTGGATGAGGTGCATGTGGGTTTGGTGTGGCCTGGGGAGACATGATGTGGTTAGGTCCCAAAGCTCATTGTGCACTGCAGCGTGCTGCTGGTACCAGTGCTGCCCTGGGAGATGGTGTCACAAGCACAGCTCTGTTCTGCCTCCTTCACCGTGGGGCTTGGTTGGATTTTTCCTGTGTGTGTGGAAGTGGCCGAGGCACTGTCCCCTGCATGGCACATTGGGCAGATGCTGTTGGCAGCATGGCGTTCCCCCAGTCCCCTACCATCTCTGTGCTGAGGCACTGAATCAGCTTTCTGCACTAGCAGCAATCAGCCTTTTTCCCAAAGAACTCCCACCAGCTCTTTTGTAACTTGAAAGAAGGCCATTTCCTGGGCACCATGGCTTTGTGGGGGTGCTGGGGGGCATGAGGTGTCCATAGGTGATGCAGCAGGACCCCCTTCTTATGAAGCTGGAGTGCTTCAAAAGAGCCCATCTCCCCCTTTCCCACTAACACAGCTGGCCTGTTGGCCTCGGGTTTGTCACTAAAATGAGGGGTGTGATGGTCCTGCTGCCTGCCTGGGCACTACAAAGGGCAGTGTGGGGGGACTTTTTGTATGGAGAACCCCACCATCCCCCCTCACTTGAGGCTGTAGTATGGTCCCAGGGCTGCAGTGCCCTGCGTGGCAGCACCTGGGAAGGGTGCAGCCCTGCCCTAATGCCATGTTGGGGTCCCACCTGGCTGAGCACCACCCTTCTCTGCCCTTACGAAGCCTGCATTTCCCCAAGGATGCTCACAATGTTGCCCCCCATAAATTTCCAGTGAGCTGTCAAGAGAGCAGAGGCTGTCCCACTGCTGCAGGGAGTACACAGCCCTCTGGCCTTTCACAAACCCTTCCCGAGAGCCTTTCCTTGGGAGATGCAAATGATGCATTATATATTTTTCCCTTTACCTCCCAGCCTAATGCAAACTATTGTGGGGCTCACCCAGACCAGCACTGGCTGTGCAGCTGAGAGTGGCCGCTTTGCATTCCCAGCGTGCTGCTTTCCTTCACTGGTCTGCTGCTGCATAGCTGAGGTTTATGTACTGTATGGGAAAAAAAGAAAAATCAAACACAGAACACACACAGGAAAAAAAGAAAAAAAAAAAAAAAAGAAGAAAAAAAGATCCTAATGTTCCAAAACAAATGACAGTATATTTTGTACTTTGTAAAAGTGTTAATTAAAATGAAAAAGAAGGAAAAGAAAAAAGGTGAAATGCTGTCTGCTTTTGTACTGATCAAACTGATGGCAATAAAGCAGAGCTTGGCACTGTCTTTATAAGATGTATTGTGCCACGTTCCCATCCAGAGGGGTTCACCCAGGTGCTCCCTGCCCCACATTGCCCCACATCAGTGGTTTTTGTCCTTCACCCAAAGGCACAAACGTTGCAGGAGGTGCTGGGGGGGGGGAGGGGGCTCCAACCCTTTTGAAAAGGCAAGAACTGGAGTCATGAGTAATGTTATCCCAGCAGTCTTCTGAAAGCTCTGATTATTTGTCCTCTGAGTCATTTGTTTTTGAAGGCTCCTGGAGAGAAAAGAGTTTGCAGGTGCCCAAAATATCACTGTTTTGGGGGGCTCTGAGGCACCCTGGCCCAGCTGCACGGGCATAGCTCTGCTCCAGGCCTTGTCCCGCAGTGCCTGTGGGCTATTTTAAGCCCCAACTGACAACACAGTGGGGTTTTGGAGGGCAAATTACTCTTGCTAATCAATGCAAAATCAAGAAGGTTTTGTTGGTGTTAATTGGAGCTGCTCCCACGTGAGGACCCAGCCTGCACCCACCTCACTGCAAGGACCTCCAGGGCTCTCTTTGAAGGACAAAGTGCTGAACACCACCTTCCAGCACGTTGCTGCCCAGCTCCATGCTGCTGCTGGCTTCTCACCTTTGAGAGTGGTGAATCTGTAGCTGTAAGCACTTTGTAGAGCAGAAGCCTTCCTGTGAATGTCATAGGTGTTTACCTTGCACCAACTGCAGACACTGCACTTCACATCAGGGCTGGCCACTGTGCAGTTCCCCAGAAAAATCATCAGTCACCTCCATAGCAATTTCAATAAATAGCAAATACAGTGGCAACTGGTGTTGGTCCTGGAACTCCCAGCTCATCTTTGATCTTCCAAGCAAGTGAATAACTTGCATGATGTAAATAATGAAGTGGCAGGTGTCACATTCATTCTAACAGCACTGGACAAGTTCTAGCCTGATTGTCTGGATGTAGTCACAGCAGCAGTGCCCACCATAACCAAAACAAAGGACAGTAGCATTTGTCAGATCTCAGGATCCACCACTAATCCCATGGCCACTACCATCACAGCATGGCAGAAAGCATCCACAGCCACTGTAATGAAAGTGCAAACACTCCCACTACTGTATAACACTTCAATTTCAGGTTAAAGACCTTGCTGGCATTTAATTAACATACAGACTTTACGATTTATTGCACAGCAAGACTGAAACACAGCCAGGTATGACTTGGAATCAGTTCTCATTCCAGTTCTCCAAAAGGCCCAACCCCAAAGGGCACCAGGAAACACTTGTGAAAGAGCAGCTAACAGCCAGCACTGATCCCATTCACCAACCAGGAATCCTGTAATCTCATTTAACAGCAACAGGCACAAAGGAGGTTGTTACAAACACCCTTCTGGCAGTAGGTTTTGCATTTATTTTCAGTGCTTTAATACACTTCCACGTGATAAAAGGGCATAGCTACTCCCATGAGGTCAACAAGATATGCTTGGGCAGCTCAAGCCCAATGTAGAAGGTTTAAATTAAAGCCAACTTAACAAGAATTCACAGCTGTAAAGGTCCTTCACAATTGAACAGTCACTTTCTGCTTTCATGCCAGTGCAGAGGTGCCTCAGCTGACAGATGTTTCTTGCCACAGCCCTGTGCTCCACAAAGCTTAAGTTTAAATGAAGAGTTGCAGGACAGAGCAGTTCTCGTGGGAAGTCAAGCTCAAGAAAACTTCCATTGCTACCAACACAAAGACTTTATAATTGCTTTATTAAAAACATTTGCTTGAATTTTGAAAAAAATAGTTTACAAAGTAGAGGTATCTCCTAGAGACATACGACAGCTTTACCTGAGGTTTGAAGTATTTCACAGCAGTTTTCCAATTCAGTGCCTATGAGTTCTGCATCCCTACTGGATCTCATGTGCTTACTACAAAAACTTCTCTGCTGAGAAGGTACCAAGAAACAAAGGCTTTGCAGTAACTCTGCTTCTTGCTCAAGACTCCCTCCTCTGACATGCACTGCAGAACTGCCAGGCTAATTCAAGAAGGCTCTTTGCAAGTGAGAACAATCATAGCCCCACAGACAAGAACGATTGCTAGAACATCTAAAAGTCAAAGGCAGCAGTATGAAGACAAAGTACTGACAAACATTAAGTGCTGCTCACTGCCACTGTATGTAGTTAGAAGGAAGTTTTGTTTGCAGCCTACTTCCACTGTCCATCAATCTGTGCTTCCATAGCAGTGGTAATGTAGGCAGCATATGATTTATCTTTCCACATTGTCTTATTTAGCAGTACTTTCCCCCTGCAGACAAGTTCTCACTCTGCCAGTTTAATGAATATGTTCCTTGGATGCACAGTTTTCAGAGTCCACAGCTGGTGGTGGATGCAGGGGACAGCTGTGCTGGACTCCAACAGCCAGAATGAGTTTTCTTCCACATAAAAACATAGTAACAAAAGTTTTCTCTTGAGTAATAGCTTGGCTCAGTCCAACACTGAAGTGTCAGAGAAAGCATCCATAAATGAATGTCCCGAGCTACAGATTTCATCTCCTGCCAGTCTTCCCTGAGGGAGATAGATGCTCTTCATCCTTACGCCCAGTGGGACTCACCAGCTGTGGGCTGGGTGTCAGACTCTTTGGGAGCCTGCCACCAAGCTGCCAGAGCACTCCCTGCATTTCCACTCTCTTTGGGGAATGAAATTCCTTCCTGCAGCCAGGCTGGAGAGTTTCCACAATGCAGAGATGACAGCACACCCAGGCACTGTTATGGCTGTCTCTGCTCACAGTCACTTCTTGCCTGGCTCCCTGGAGTGAGCCTTCCTTTCCAAGCAGCTCTTCGCCACGATCCTCATCTTCAAAGCACAGTGCCAAGCCTCAGCAATATTACATGAAAGATTTGACCATGCTTACCATATGATCAACTCCACATGCAACATCCACCACTTCACCGGGTATAGTTACCTGGATCAGACATACAAGAGCAGATTGTTTCTCAAGATGAGATTTTGTACACGATATTTCCCATTTCTCATTCTCCCTTCTGCTTAACATACTTGTTAAGCTTTTGCAGGAACTTACACCTATGAAAGTATCATCTGGAAAACCCAGAGAAAGCAAGGCTGAGCACCAGAGATGCTTGTGCATTGAGCAGTGAAACATTCCTGTTCTTCCCTCACAGAAGCACAAAGTTTTGGAAAGGCAGAAGGGGAAGCCTCACTAGCAGACAGAGAGGAGACTGTATCCTCACCCCATCTGCACAGCAGCATAAAAACATGCCCAAACTGAACGTAACACAGACAACAGGATGAGGATCTGCCCAAGCACCACAAGGATTACTCTTTTCTCTCATCAGCAAGGACAGGAGATATGCAAAAACTCAACTTTACCTAAGGCAGTTTTTGCTCTGATGTTAAGCAGACCCAGCCCACCCACTAGTATAGCTATGCCTGTTTCACATGTAGTAGACTTAAAGCTCAAGGAAAGCAGAGGCTACAAATGAAAAGATGCAAGCTTTTCCTTGGAGCTAAAGGAATGCAGAGATAGCTAGCTCTAGAGCAGGACATTACAAATAAAATGGTAACTGCTCTCACTTTAGTACAGCGATGTAGTAACATCCTGCAGGAGCCAGTTGTTGGAGGGAACAAAACCCTCAAAGCAGACTCAAAAATACCTCCAGCTCTGGGGTAGACAAAGATCTTTGGAAAAGAAAGCAGTCCTACAGTCATCTTAGATTTCTACTTCTGCCAAAATTACTTAACCAAACTATGCAACAAATGACGTTTCTTGTCCTCACGATAACAAAGATGAGCTAAAAAATACACTCTTGGTCTTAACATTACTGTCCTTACCCTCCATGGGAAATACTGGTCTTCCATTCTTCCAATTCCCAGGCATCCTCTTAGATTCTTGCCCCATACAAAGAGTTCTCCTCTGTCTGTGCAAAGAAAGAATAATAAAAAAAAATAATCAGGTGGAGTCACTAAAAAAACCCTCTATTTGTGATGTTGGCAGCTGTGGCTATGGTGCTGCTGGAAGTATAAAAAGTTACACATGCAGCATGAAAGCCTGCTATGGCACTGACAGAGATGCTGAAGAGCACTGGTCCCAAAACAGACTCTTGGGGGACACCACTTGTGTCTGTCTCCACCTGGACACAGAGCTGTTGACCACAACCCTCCAACCAAGTATTTATCCACTGAATAGTTCAGCCTTCTAATACATCTCTCTCCAATTTAGAGATAAGAACGTGGTATGAGACCATGTCACAGGCCTTGCACAAGTCCAGGTATAACCCTTCTGGGATAAGCAAGGCAGTGAAACCCATCCCAACCCAATACCTGGACAGTGCTTACTGCCCAAAAGAAGTGACCTTCTACTGGTAACTGAGGAAAAACAAAATTATATTCAGCTGTGTCAGGAAGTGATCATTTTTCAATCCTCCTGACATACTGAGCTCTGAAGTACGCAGATCAGATCCACAGAAGAGACAACCAAAACATCTAAAACAAGTAAAGTTTAGTCAGGGTGCAGTTTGTAATGCCTCCTGGATAACAGGGGAGACCAGTTACAGGCACATCACTTCCCCAACACTGACCAAGCACATCAGGACTAAGCACTTCTCATTAGCAAAGTACTGTCTTCGCTAAGCAAGCATATGGGTTTTCTGTGCTGCTGCCCTCTGCTGATCATTTTTAAGTGACCTTCACATCCAAAGCTTCTTTTTAAGGCTGGTGTCAAACACATGCATACATACCATGATATCACACCCTAGCACACTAACTGTATAGGTCTTCCCACCTCAGTCTGCTAATGGAGTTGGTCAGAAGAGGCAAGAAAGCCTGACATTTAAACTCTCAGTTTTAACTTGTCCATCTATCATAAGAATTCTTTTTGCTTCTGAAGTGTAACTGATTGATTTATTCTGTATGAGAAAATAAAAAATCTGCCTGGCTTTTCTGTTTGAAAGATTGATTTATCTTTTTTTTTTTTTACTAGAAGAATAACACTTTCTAGAACTTATAGCTCATTTTAGAAGTGACAAGTAAGTAACAGACATGTTCACACTGAAACAGGCTTTACCATAGCAGTACCTATGACTAGAGACCATGCTGACTCCTGCAAACATGTTGCCCCTCCTGCTGCATTCCAATGTGGTTTAAGTTTAAAGAAAGATGGTTTTGTTTGTTAGTTAAGCTGAGAATAGCATGGCCATACGACTTCTTCATGACAACAGGACTAGAAACTTACTTGTAAGTGCTGCAAAGTGGCTGAGCCCACAGCGAACACGAGCAACACGGACATCTGGACTGAAGTCTGACCAGCCAAAAAGGCTGGGGGGGATCATCTCTGGCACTGCTGTTTCAGTTAGGTTTGGTCCTTTCCCAAGAATTCCGTATCCCCAGACAAAAACACTTCCTTCTTCTGCATTACAGTAAGAAGACACTCTGTAATAAAGTCTGTGCTTGTGAAATTCATGCCATGACCAAGAGTTAATCAGATCCAAAGGGATATTCTCCTTTCTCCCAGAGAAGTCTAACACCTTTTGAATATTCAAAAGTAACAAACAATGCATTCCCATTCAAATGCCTTTATTTTTTTTCCCTAAGCTGTGTAGACTCATCAAGCTTCACAGGCAAAACTTTCATGGGGGAAAAATGCCAACATAGTGCAGGCTGGATAAAATACTTACTTCAGCTAGAGACTGAATATTTTATTATCACCTTTGAGGTACAGCCAAACCTTTGAGGCAGGCTACCTGCCCTGCCTGCCATTCTCTCTTAAACTGTGTGCCTGAAAAAGAAGCAGCTGGACAGCATAAGACAGAATAAGATGCTATGACTGCCAGCTTTGCTTCCTTCATGCTAGAAGCTCAAACGTCTTCACAGTAACTGCATTGTAAGTGGGAATCTCTTCATCACGAAAATCCTTCCTCAAAGCAGTACAAATCTTTCTCCTTGCTCTTTTATTCAGAATCTTTCTTCAAGCTGTGCTCCTCATGCTGCTGGCAATCCCAAGAATATTCAGCAAGAATTCTCAGAACTCTCTGCTTTCTAGTCTGCTTTATCAAGATTTATTTATAAGTCAGTCTTACATAAGTCTAACTTATAAAGACCTGCTCCTCCTCTCAAGTGTTGCCTTACTTCTTTCCTATATTCACCTTCATTATACGCCACCCATTTAATCAGAAAACAAGGGATCAGAAGGGATCTCTAGTTCATTCTTAAATCATAGTATTCCCATCATCCAAGCTTTTCTCATTCTGACAGCAACTCCCTGCTTCTAGTGAACAAGAAGCTGGCTTCAGTATGTTATAATCCATCCACTGCATGGCCTTGCATTAAAGAGGGAGGATGACTGTAAAAATCAACTCACCAGTTAGCACAATATTGCCAGTACCTCCACATGCAGCCTCCTTTATCTTCCCAATCTTGAATGGCAAGTGTCTGGGAACATTTACCTGTATGAGGTTGCAAGAGTTGTTTTAGACAAGGTAATAAACTGGAAACTACACCTACATTTTTAACGTTTTCTATAGTTTTAGTTACAGTCAGTACTTGTTGTTCTGTAATTTGCACATTACCTAGGTGATATGTAAAACTCCAGCTTTAGCAAAGGTGTCATTCAGCTATTCCAGACCCCTCCAAGTTCAGCCATAAGCACCCAGTCAGGCAGCCACTACACTACTTGTAACAGTCACTGTCTTCAGGCCTCCCAAGCCTCAGTAATTAGCCCTACATTAAGGACAGACAAGGAGTAGCATAGGAAACAAAGTTACATATTTTACTAGGGCCATGTTAATGTGACTGCTTGCTCTTAGCTTTCTGCCAGGAATAGCTGAGTATGAATGAATTCCCTGACTCCGTTTTCTACACTAACTCTAAGAGGAGACCATCTGTCTAATTACATCAGTACTACAACACTTAGTGTCAAGTCAGCACTATATTCTTTACCCATAGAAGTTTGCTCCAAAAAGCTTCTGTGTGCAAAAAAACTGGGACTTGTTCAGGGCCAACTCTAAACCTACTAAGGGAGCTAGTGTAAAAATCCAGGCCCGTGGCACAGAGTTCAACATTATGAAGTGCATAATTAAAGAACATAATTTCCCTGTTGTATAATACATATGTATTGACAAAACCTTGATTTTAAAAGTTATTAAAACCATTTCTCTGTAATATACCTCCCCCCATCTTTATTTCTTTCTACAGATCCTAAGATTGCATCATTAAAGCATCCAGCACAAACACTAAGCTGCATCTCATTGGGTGCAAAAGCAATGGGCTGAGGAAAAGAATACAGTGTGCTCCCCCCCAATAACAAACAAACTGGGATGAGGTAACCCAAACTTCTGCCTATCAATAGCTGGGAAACATGCTGCCCTAAAGCTATACAACCATTTCAGACACACTGGTTTTGTAAACATTGAGAAAATCAGCTTGCTAGTGGTGTTAGTGTATATTGATTTATACTGCTGTCAAAAAAAGAGCTGGGAGAAGCACTTAATTTTTAACTGCAGCCTAGCAGAAACATGTGAAAACAAGGCCCCCAGGCCAACTGACCTGTGTGGTTTCTGTGACAGATGCCAACTGCAAGTATTCTGAATTTCCCCAACCAAACAGGTCTCCCTCATCTGAAACAGCCAGACAACAGTCCCCATAGGAAGAGACTTGGATAATGTTTACTCCAGCAATGTCACCACCTAGCTTAGTTGGAACACTAGTGATGTTGTAGTGTCCAAGACCTGAAAGGGAAAAAAAGAGCAAGATGATTATTTCTCCAGCCATACTTTAATTCCTACACAGAACCCACTTCAATGGACAAGCAGCCACAAACACCAGCTCTATGAGCCAAAGCTATCTCTCTCTGAAATACAAAACAACTTTATACAGCCATACACAGGAAACAGCCTAGGCCCTGATCTCTCGTCTGCATGGACTGAAGAGTTTGAGATCACTGAACAAGCCAAGCAGATATCCTGATGGAGGCAAAGTCCAGACCAGCAGCACTGTGTCTTCTGCAAAGACAGCACACTCTGCAATCATTTTAGACAACAGCAGAAGTGGCAAAAGATGCTGGGAGGCCAGCACATGATGTGACAGCTGCTTGGACAGGAGACCAGAATGCAGACAGACCACAGTATGCCTGCGTGACAGAATTGCAGAAAGAACCTGGCTTCAGGAGCAGCAGAAGGACTAAACAGCAGGAAAGGCTCAGAGAAAGTCCTCTGCCAGCAAGAGCCACCAGAACAAGGGCCTGGCCAAAGATCCCATGCTAAGACAGCAGCTGCAGCCAAAGATCTCTGTTAGTCCAAAACAGGGAGCAAAAGACCCCGAAATGAGAATCATGAAGCAAAGCCTGCATGGAAGCAGGGAGCTAACTTTCACATGCCACTTCCAGATAACCTCCCCTCAAGCTTCAAACAGCAAACACATCCTCCTCAGACTGCATGCTGGGATTGACAGCACGGTATCTGGAAAATGAACTGAACTGCTCTGTCTCTCTGTGGTTACACAAGAGTACTGAGAACATCTGCACACAGCTGGAAACGCACCAGCCCCTTTCCATCCATACATGCAAGACAAATTTAGCTCTGAATTAAGAGCTTGCATTTTAGTGAATGGATGAATATAGGAAGCTGAGCTGAGCTCCTACCTGTTTGTCCATCAGCTCCCCAACCACACGCAAAGACAGCACCTTTCTTGGTTCTAAACAGACTGTGGTCCTGCCCACACACAACCTGCACACAAACAGAAAGCCAGACCTCGTCAGCAAAGGTCATGTGTTCAGAATTGATTTAACGAAGCATCACTGGCAGACAAATTGAGCAGTGAACCTCTACAGTGCCCATCAGCTTAGATTTTGACCTTTCTCTGCAAATGAAAATGCTCTACAGGCAGGGAAGGCTACAAACAGCATGATACAACACAAGAAACAGCACAGTTTTCTTTGTGGAAAAGCATGGTGCAGTTGTTTTGAGATCCAGAACAAGGCTGAGTTAACAGAAAGCCAGATTCAGCAGCGCAACATAATAACAGTAAAGAATAAATAAGAGATTTCCCTTCTCAGAATGCTACCACACACTCTCAATGCCAGTTACAAACTGCTACTGATTCCTTGCCATGCAAATGCTCCAAGAACACATCTGTTCTCAAATTTAGGTTTACACTGAACCAGCAATCATGACTGCCACAGGTTTGGCACAAATTAAGGTCAAGCTCTTCAAAAATAGAGCCTAAAAATTTGCCAAACATCAATTCACAATTTAAGAGATTGAGTACCAGAAATTTTAAGCAAGCAGATGCTGCAGAAGTACAAACAGGTACCAATGACTCAGGTCACAGACACAGGTACTCAATTCCCCTGAGAAAAACACCTTTGAAAAGCCTAACTCTAAACACAATTAGGATACACAATGTTCTCTCTAACTGCTGGCAAACACATTATCCTTGCCTTTGAGGATGCTGCACAAGCCAGAAGCAACACCTATACACAAAGTACTACTGTGGCAGCACAGCCTACTAATGCTGAACTGCTCCTGTGCCTGGAAATGCTGCAGCTGTGTGAGAAATGAGCATTACAAACAGAGTTCTGCAAACCCTCAGCAGGCCTCACAGTTCACCTCTGAAATGGAAAAGACAAAATTCAAAATAAAGCAGCTTCCCTGTGACCAGGACTCCAAGGGACTATTAATGAAGGTGTTTCATAGGACTGGACCCAGCACTGACCCCCAGGATAGATCACCAGATAATGGCCTCCAATCAGACTTTGTGCCACTGATCACCATGCTCTGGGTTTAATCACTCAGCCAGTTTTCAACCCATCTTCAGATTTAGATTCAGAAGATCCTCTTACCTGGACAACTCTGCTGTCAAAATCATTCAGTTGATGAATTAAATGGCTTTCACTGGACACAAATAGCAACCGAGAAGATAAGAGACAAAGAGAGCATTTCAGAGGACTGCAACTGAAATATGTGAAGATAGACCTCCCTTTACCAAAAGTCACTTCGCTGTTTGAAGAAGAGAGTCTTTCATGCTCTTACAGAATCAGAAAGCACAGGTCCACTGAACAAAAAAGGAAGCTGATTTTGCATTCTCTTCTCCTAAAGAAGAACAGATGCTTTTAAAATATAACCTTTAATGGCAGTTGGGGATAGAAGTCCTCAAACACATTCCCTAGCCTGGAAAGAACACTGACAATAGATAATACTGCAGCACCTGCATAAACACTATGCTTAACTACAGACTAATTGAAATTAGATCCCAGAGCACAAACACAGCAGTGTTAGCATTTATTTCACTCTTTCATAAAAACAGGAATTCTGAACAGTACCTTGATTGTACTGAAATACCTCTGAACAATACTTCCAGTACCGAGGTGAAGAAGAGCTAGCTAAATTAGAGCTATTTCCTTAAAACTCCACAGGCCAAGTCTTGTGGATCACTCAGCAATCTGCAAGACCTCTTCCAAGCCCAGTGATGGAATCAGTAACTTACAATATATTCCCACTTGGATCACTTCTCTCTTGTAAAATATTTTGAGAATGCATTTTGTGGCCCATAAGCACACCGTAAAGGAAATCAGTCCAGATTCAAAGGCAGTCACAGCACAGAGGTCCAACAAAAGGATGACTCTTTCATGATGAAATGGCATTTCTAAGACCCCCAGAAAAGGCACTTGCACACCCCCTCTGAAAGGTTGAAGGAGGAAGAACTACTGATACAGATTACCTCCGGCCTTTTATGAAGACTGCTTTTCCTCACTGTGTCCTGTGAAAATTGTCAGATACTGGCTTTTTTTTTCCTGTTTTATGAATGTGATAAGAATGCTCGTGTCCAACCCAGCTTTACAGTCAGGCCCTTTACATGATGCCTGCAGCATAAAAGCCTGCTCAAGATTAAGAACAGTATCCTTATACCACCCACAAGCTTTACTGAAAGATTCTTTTCATGCAACAATGCTTTTAACGTTAACAAAGTTCCAATCATGTGGATTCTCACCTGTAAACTTCATCTTCAACAACTTTCCGACCACACTGTCCATAAGAATTATTTCCCATGGTGAAGACTGAAAAACAATGATAAAACACACTAGTTTTGTTGCTGCCCAACCTCACCAAAGCTTCTCTGCAGGTACATAACATATATTCGTAAAGTCCTCAGTATGAAAGTTTATACACAGCACTTGATAAATGGGCAGAAGCTTTCTCCAAGCCAAATCCACTTAAAGTCAAGCGACTGAATCCATTTCAGTCAACAATATCCAGGAGCATTGTTGCAGCAGTACCTGGAGCCCATTGGCTGTCCTTCAGTAATTGCACAGCCCATCCTGCCGTTGCCAAGGAGACTCAGGAATAGATCAGTGCTCCCATAGGAGTGTTACATCTACCACACAGCTCACCCAGCGATAAGCAGCACTGAAGCCACTGCTACAGAGAATTACCAGAGAGGCAGAATGCCAATTCACACACCAGACCTTCTGTACAGAGGCCTACTCATTCATTGCTTTTATAAATGCAGCACTCGGGCTCCACAGGGAAAGTAACACGGAACTATTGGCATAGCCATCCAAAAATGAATTCAAAAACATATCTGCCCAAACAAGACAAATAGCCTGCACTTAAAGGAAGCCTGAGGCTAGATAAACAAACCATATTTTGCAATACTTGCAGTCAAAAAGCATCCAACATGTTTACAGCTTCACCCAAACAGAATGCAGAGCACAGCATGATTATCAGCTCAGCCCTCTGCCTTCTGGGAGCAATCCCACAAAGATCTGCATCACATTGACAGTGCATGCAGTCCTTCTGGGGTCTAGTTTTAGAGGACATCAGACAATCTTTCTCAAGTCTTTTAATGAAAGCACAGTCAGTCCCTTGTTACCAGCATGAGCAATACTGTACCTCCTTCACTATCTGTCAGGATCAGGGAATGAGCTCTGCCACAGGACACCTGCAAGACTCGAGTCTTCTGTGGCTCCTCCAATGGTAATGGAATTGGAGATGGTTCTAAGACATATTCATAGCCTTTAGCTTAAGGAATAGAGAGAAATAAAGAAGTCAGTTGATTCTATAAAGCAAATTCATTGTGTATTTGTACATACACAAACAGATTCCTAGTTGTTACAAAAGCAAACTTATTTCTAAAAGCTAGGATGTTAATCAAAGTAGAAAGGTGAGTGATATTCATCACTGGGAGGAAAAGATTAAAAGAAATAGAGATGGCTGAAGCTAAGAATCACTGCCTAACCAAAAATCTACCATACATGGACAGTGAATGTTAATAAAGCACCAGGAGGCCAGAACTGGGAAACTGAGGCTTTCAGCCACATGCTCTATCATTTTGTTGAATATGTCTGGATTACTAGAAAGCCTAACAGTAAGCTCAAACTAAAGCACTCTGTACAAGTGGGGATACTGCAAACAAGGTACAATAGCAGGCACCACAAAAAGACAGCATGAAAGGCAAACGTAAAATCTTAGGGCTTCATATTTAAAGAACAGTAGATTAAAGACCCCATCAGAAAATGGCATGCAAAAAACAGTAGCAAGCACAGCTCCTAAAAGGATAAGAGATCTAAGGTTCAAGAAAGAAAGTGACAGGCCGTATTAAAAAAAGATTTAGTAACTTAAAGAATATGTAATCAGTTACAGTCGACTGGGAAAAAAAAATGAACAGCATAACATAACAAGTGCTAGGCAAAAGGTTAAAGGGAGATTAAAAAAAGCTGTGATATCAAAGACTGTAACAGGTGAAAGCAAATCCCAGAAGACTCAATATAGTATTCTGCTCACATGTAGCAGCATTTTAACTAGCTCTCACTGCCTCGGTTAGAAAAAGAACACCTACACCCACTCTAAGTCAGATGCCACCATCAAGCAAAGCTAGTATCTATCTAAAGAGACATGGACATCACAAAACATAACCCCTTTTTCTCTCTCTGTTCCTTCCAGTTCAGCCACACCAGCTACTGGGATCTGTGGTAATGAACTCGCTATCGTCACTGATGGTATCTGAAGGACGTGAGAGGAAAATAAACAAGGTGGCTAAGGCAGGATAGGATGAAGATAAAATGTAAGTTTAGGTTAGAAACAACTGATTCTACAGCCATCTGGAAATCAGAAGGTTTAGGTTCCCTGCAAAACAGCTCTGTTGGGACACAGCATTAGAACTACCAGGTATCAAAGCAAGGTTGCAAAACAAAGGAACAAGCAGCTTAGCCAACAGAAAACTTGTCTGTGGAAAGTTAAATGTGGAGCAGAAGCAACCTCACTGATCTGTACATCCCTTTCAACAGCTCCCACAAAACAATGTACACTCCCTTACTTAGAAGGGCTTGAAGTGCAGAACTATTTAACCTTTGTCTGGACTCTTTAGCAAAAAGAAAAATCAGCATGCCATACAAAAAACTAGAAGACGAGAGAACACTTGAACAATGAGACTTGAACAATTACAGAACTAAGGCAGAGTAAGAGTTGAAACCTTAAAAAGCAAAAGTGAGTGGAAGCTGCTGTCATTTTCCTGCTGCTATTTAAGTGCATACACTTCAGCATTCTCCACAACAGCAGTTATTTTCTATTGGTTTGCCATTAAGTTTAATTTCTTGCCCACAACAGACACATCATACCTTGATTAATTATGCTCTTACAGGGTATAAAGAGCAAAAACTGGTTATAATGGGTTTTTTTTCCTAATTGTTTGAAGAACATTTTCAAACAAAAATCTTTTAAGGAAAGGAAGCTCACGGTTTTTGATATCTGGTTTAAGTGGAAAGTGATAGCTTTCTGCATAGAGATAATCTTCTTTATGTGTTTGAGAGTTTGGTATAAGACCAAGTGTTTGAACAATGTGTTTTCCTTTCAAAATTCAGTTTTGTATTCAAATAAAATAAATCAACAGTTTCACAAAAAGCCAACACTGACCTTGTCAAAAAATCTCCATGTGAAAAGAAATTACAGATGCAAAGGCAACAGAAGGGAGCAAACTATTTTGCCAAAATCATTTTAATAACTGGTCCATCATATTGTCTATAGACTCAACAAAAAGGTGCTTCCATTTTAGTTATCTTTTAGGCAAGAATACAGGAACAGTGCCTAGAAAAGATGGATGGCTTCAACACCTACTTACAAACCATGAAAAAAACAAAAAACAGCTAAGTTCAAAAACCAAACAAACACGTAAGCATGTTTGTACGGTCCTATGATCTGCATCAAAACCTCCAGCAAATTTTCTACACCTTCTCATCTGAAGTTTCCCTCACAGTGTGCACCCCACAGTGCTGCCCTGTAAGTCCTTACAACACCTCAATCCTTACTTCTGTCTCTTATGCTTCTCTGAAATCCAAGCTGGGAGTCCTTGTTCAGGCCCGTGCCCCACACTTTGGTGATGTCGGTGGTGTCAGAAGACAGCAATGTGAATCCATAACCACAGGCAGCAGAGGTTATCTTTGAAGACAAACACAAAACAGCATTCAGTAATAAGCTTAGAAAAATGAATCACAGAACCGTTAAGGTCAGAAAAGACCAGTGAGATCACCAAGTCCAACCATCAACCCAACCCCACAACCCCACAGCTCTGGAACACCTCCAGGGACGGTGACTCCAGCACCTCCCTGTGCAACTGTGCCACTCTTTTGGAGAACAAACATCTGATCTCCAAGCTGAACCTCCCCTGGCACGACTTAAGGCCATCACCTCTCATCCTATCGCTGCTACCTGGGTGTCCAATCTCACACCTCCTTTCGGGCACTTGAAGAAGCTCAGAGAACACCTTATCGCTCTCTACTGCACCCTGACCCAACCCAGCCATCACACCTGCGCTCCACACCCCTCACAGCTCTGCTGCTCCCCTCGCAACCCAAACGCAGCGCACTGATAAAGCAGTTCCTACAGCAGGAGGCACAGGACAGCGTCTGTGCGGTTCTAAACCCCTCCGGATTGGCACTTCCCAATCTCCAGCTCCAGCAGCCCGGCTCCCCGCCCACCTTCTCCTCCGTTTCCAGTCGGTAAGGCGTCGCTTGGATCCGCCGCGGCTTCTTCCAGCCCGCGTCCGGCTTCACGAAGCTGGGCACGCCCAGAGCGCCCGAGTACGAGAAACCCCACACGAAAACTCGATCCTTCCGTTTAGCCGCCTTCCCCACATACTGGAAGATCGGGGCGGCCTCATCGGCTTCCCGCAGCTGCCTGGCGCTCGGTGGCCCGGCGGGCTTGGCCAGGCCGCGGCGCGGAACCGGCGGAAGCCGCGCTGCCCTCAGCGCCCGCCTCACCGCCACCGCCGCCATCTTGGCGACCTCTCACCTGCGCCGCCGAGCGCTGTGCGCATGCGCCGTACAGAGCGCGCCTTCCGCGCCCCTCGTCTTAAAGCGGCAATGCCGGCCATCTCAGAGGGTGGGCCCAGCTCAAACCGGGACCCCAAGCTAAACCCAAAGCCAGAACTTGGCCCAAACTCTGCTGGCGTCGTCGCAGCAGGGCTGGCTGCGGTGTCACCTCACGTAAACCTCGTGTTCTGCTCCCTGCTGTGTGGCAGTGCTACCCCCCACCACAGTGGGCCCTTCTGCGACGGCCAAAGCCACCTGACATGGCAGCACTCAGGCTGTGAAGGGGCAGAACAGCCATGCGGAGCCCTTCAGCCCTTTGACCTTCAGCCCTTTGAGAGACCCTGCCCCCAACTCACACCCCACCGCCATCTGGGGCAGCTTAGCTTCATGGCCTCCTCACATCATAGCCGCCTCGCCTCACGGCCACCTCACTTCCGGGCCTCCTCACCTCATGGCTGCCTCTCATGGCCGCTTCCCCTCAAGCAACTTCACCTCATGGCCGCTTCACCTCATGGCCGCCTCGGAGGCTCAGCTCACTCCTCACACCTTCAGCCCCAGCATCCCACTAGAGGGAGCAGAGAAGAAAGCTTTCACCAGAGAGCTTTCACTACTTAACCGACTTGGTTCAGCATCGATATCTTGTTTATTGATCAGTTGTCCACACGGCGTGAAAGCGTTGAAATACACGTATAAAGTGTCTCTTTATGCTACACTGCTTTTTCTACACGTTATTCAGGGTTTTCTCACAGTGATTGAAGCCCTGGCTACGCTGTCAGCACAACGCTGGTAACTGTTAAAAAACTAGGAAAAAAAAAATCATTCAGAATACAAATAAGGGATAAAAGTGAGCCTGCCAGTGATGAGGAACCTGGGCTGTGGGAAGGCTCAGCGAGGTGCTGATGGAAGTGCTCACACTGCTCCGTGGGGCACCTTGGTGCCACTGTGCTGTGGGGTTAATACAGAGCCTGGGTCACAGCTGCTCTGGGAGACACACAGACCCCCAGCCTGGCTCGGTGCCCCCTCTGCATAAGAGATAAAGCATCTGCTCACAGGGTTTGGGGGCTGAGAGCCTCACATGATCTTCCTCCTGGTACTCTCTGTGCAGCGGTTCATGATGAGGTCTTTACTGGGCCGGGGAGGAACCGCAGGCTGAGCCTTCGACTTATTCTCCTCTTGCTCATTTTTCTCAGCTGTGGGTGAAGCAGATGCAGAGATGGGTCAGAGCTCTGCACAACCCCACACCTTTACGTGCTCCTCCAGGTCCTCCTGTGAAGGGGCAGAGCTGGAGCCATGCTGTCCTGTTAAGACAGCCCAAGCGTGGGCCCACAAAGTGCAAAGTGTTTGAGAGAAAAGAGGACTTGCTTCCTCCTCTCTCCCTACATCTTTCAGTGTGGCACAGAGATTCTCAAGTCTATTTGTTTATGCCACACTGCCAGCAACCAGTGTTGGAGGGCATGAACCATGTCATAAAATCATAGAATAGCAGTCCTGCAGGACTTCAGTCCACATCTAGGTCAAGGACCCTGCTGAGACTTACGGATGATGTCCTTCTTCTGCAAATTGCCCCTCATGTTCCTCCGGTTCTGCATATACTTCTTGCTGTTCCTCCTGTAGGTTTCCTGGCTGATCTGCTTCCGTCCCTTGTTGTGGATACTTTTTGCATTGCGGATGGTGGATCTGCAAGCAAGTCAGAAATTAAATGTTCCATTTCCACAACCATAGCTCTCACTCACACAGTTTCTCTCCGAGAATCCCCAACCCTGCTTCTGTACACTGTGCTTCCTGCTCTGCCTTTCCTGAACACCCCTACCCGCTTTTCATTTCCACTTGACAGAAGGCAGCAGGTGCCTGCCAGCCCTGGGGGTGAACTGCTAGGAGGCAGCTAGAGCAATGCTTTGGAAGCATGTGCTGATGGGTGAAACCTGAAGCCTGGAAAGTGAAGGTGGGGATGGCAGACACAATGCAGAAAAGGGCAAGAGAGGCATGAGGTCTTCCCCAGAATTCAAGAAACTCCTGGAAGAGATGCAACACTGCTTGCAGATGGGAGGATGGATGGATACGGTATCTATGCTGGCTGCAGCACTGAGCTTCACTGTATGGGATCTGGGGGCAGAGCCTGGAGCAGGTGCCTGTGCAGCTGTCTGCTCAGTGCTGTGCCCGCAGCAGACACCACAGAGAGAAGTGAAAGGCTGAGTTCTGGGCTGTGTGGAGCCACACTGCTGTGGGAAAGCCCCAGCATGCAGGGCAATCCCCAGGCAGGCAGACAGAGCCATTGCTTTGTTGTCATTACCAGGATGAGAGTGGCTGCTTTCACCACCCATTGCACCGTCCTGCTCTGCTGCAGGCACCTGCAGCCCTCTGCCTTCAGCCCCTGCCTAGTTTCAGTGTGTGCCCCGTTTTGTAGCCAAGCTCTTCCCCACTGCAGCAGGAGTGCTCCGAGCCCAAATTCATGCTGTGGCCATTCCCTGGTAAGCAGCGAGCCAGTTGCCACCTGCTTCTGCTGTGCACTGCCATCAGCAGTGCCACAGGGACAGGTCACTGTCCTCACCACGCCACCTCCCCAAGGGTATCAGTAAGCATCAGTGCACTCAAATAAGCGGATTTGTACCATTTTACACTGCCTCACCATCAACCCAAATCCAGCAGAGCCGGATTTTGAGAGATTTTATAGAAGGCTGCCTTGTTTTCTTGTGGGGGAAGAAAAGATCCAGGCAAGCTCTGCCCTTCTTAGCCATTGTCGTTGCATCAGAATTAATGAGCTATTATTGCTTTTTATCTTTTTAATCAAAATAAAATCCCTTCCATTAGCTCAAATCCTCCCATCAGATTAGGCCATTTGGAAGCCCTGATTAGTCAAATCTCTCCTCGCTTCTCAAAGATTCAGTGGATGCACTTAAGGGAAAAAAAAAAAAAAATCTAATTTGAAAATTAAACGAGATTAGCCCAGAAAAGGAACTCTGCAGAAGGACAAGGAGAAATGTGCCTGCCTGATCCTGCCTGATCTGGGCTGGCTCTGCTGCAGTCCTGCAGGATCTGCTCCTGTTCTCTGTGCTCTGCTCACCTCTCTTCTCTCTCTGCATCACCAGGGTGAACAGGGGACACCACACATCCAAAAGTTTCATTTCACCCTCTCGAAGAAGAGCTTTTGCCCTCCTCCCTTCCTCCCTCCCTCAGCACATTTCCTACCTCCGGGGGGGAATGTTGTGGTTCCTCAGCCCGCTTTTCTTGGAAGTGTTCACCTCCCCTGATTTCTGCAGGTACATGGAGGGGTAATAACCTGTGGTTTCGTCCTTCCTGCAACACAAAGCAACACTCCTTGTTCTCCAGAGCACAAATGCAGCTGGGGTTTCCCTGGGAAAGTCTAAAACAGAGTGAGCTAAGGCTGGGATGAAAGCTGAGGTTTCACCAAACAAACTATGCCAGAATACTTAGAGGCAGGAAAAATAACAGATGCATTTTTTCCATCTCCTGCCTCCTTGGTGGTTGCACTTAGGAAAGCCACAGAGCTACTAGAAATCCTGCAAAAGAAAGCATTGGGCAGCAATACCAAATGGTCCACAGACGTCACCACCCTGATGTGCAGAACCTCGGGTCCATCCCATCCCGTTGCCTGCTTTTGTGGTGTTTCTCACCTGATGACCCACCAGCCATCAAGCAGCTTGTGGATCACCTCGATGGTGTCACCCTCCTTGAGTGTCAGCTCATCCTCCTCCACAGCCGTGTAGCTTTTCTGCACCACGTACAGCTCACCTGCACACACACAATTGGGACGTCACTCCCAGTGATGGGGCTCAGCCTCTCCTTCACTGAGCAGAGGAAACACCAGAGCATCAACCTGCAATTTTAGGCAAACCCAGAGTGATCCAGGTCTGCAAGCCTGGACTGAGCTCTGCTGCTGCAATAGCTCCTCCAGGTCCACCCAGCACTTCTACAGGAGAAAGCTGGCAAGTACAAGCAGTGAAAGGACATCTATCTAGGCTGAAAAGCATGTTTGCAATTTGCGTGATTAAATGAGGAACAAGGAAGTGCTGTGCTAATAGAGTCTGCTACAGTGTTTTGAAAACCACAAAGATGAAGCCCTGGTAGCAATGAACAGGAAGCTGCAGGACCCCTCCCGCCTGGCACAGCAGGGACACGTGCGCAACAGAAACCCTGTGCTGCTCCTATAGTGTTATCCCTGTGCCCAGAGGTCCTGCCTTGCAGTGAATTGTCCTGCAGACAGGTGATGCTCTTGGGAACGCTGCGGTTTTCTGTGTGTTCTACCTGCATAGTTGGGCTCCTGCTCCTCTGATTCATCAGGACCATCCATCGGCTCCAGATAGGCAGCTGGCACCCAGCCCCGCTTGTTCTTTAACTGGCAAAACCACCAACCTGCAAGGAGAGCAGGGTGGGCAAGAGCAGGGACAGCGCGGAGGCTACAGGAACAGCCAGCAGCGGCTGTGTTCCCCATCCCGTGTTCAGGAGTCCCCATGACACATCCGGAAGGGCGCTGGGGCTGTTCTTTGTTTTTGTGGTGGTGTAACTGGGGAGCCCGGCCACTTCATGCTGCTTCCTCTTGGGCAGGAAACATCCCAGGCTGAGGCATGTGAGGAGGCTGCAGGGTTTTCTAGGATTGCCTCACAACCCCACACTCCAACCAGAACCGACTGTCACGGGGCTCCATGTGAATGTGAATCGGGAAGCACTGAGAAGTTTGGCTCTGGGCCTTTCCATCAGCAGCCCCTCACACAGCCTTTGTTGTTGTAACTGACACCATAGGGACGCAATGTTTGGGTGTAAGACACAAAGGCTGTCCCCACCCCTGCGGAGATGGTGGCCGGGAACGGGGCTGGCCCACAGTAGCATGGACACCTACCAGTCTCACTCTTCTCCACGACGTCCACCACATCCCCAGCTTTTAGAGCCATCTCAGACTTGGAGCTCTTCTCATAGTCGGCGATGGCTCGGTATGTCTGCAGGACGATGGGGCCTGTGATGTCTGTGGGAGAGAAGAGAGACGTTCCCTCCTCGCACAGAAATACCCTATTTCAGCCACACTAAAAGCAACGCCAGGACAGCCTAGTGCAAAACCTCAGCACATTCTAGGGCTCCACAGCTACATCCCGGACTCTTTTCCCCACGGGATGAGATTTTCACACAGCAGCAGGGCTGCTTTTGCCCTCTGCTGTCAGCCATGGCCCCTGCCATGGGGCAGCCTGCCTCTGCTCAGCCCCATCCACCCACACTGCCCCTCTCCCTGTGCATTTTGCTGTGGCAGTGGCACCCCCATGCAGCCCCTCCAGGACTCTCACCGCTGGCGTTTTTCTTTGCATCCTTGGGCAGGAGGAACACCTCGGGCTTCCTGATCCTACATGGAGCAAAGTGGTGCATTAGCTAGGTCCCAAGAGCTAATTATTCCGTGATTAATTGGTGTTGCACCACAGAGGTGAAGAACTGCCCCTGCTGCACTCACTGGCTGTCTGTGATGGGGTTCATGTCATCGGGCCGGACCTCAAAGAAGCTGACCACGTGCAGGCAGCGGGAGATCTTGTGGG